TTTAGTGACTTTTTTCTCATTTTTAGATTTAGTACCAAAGAAGGGCCCCGGCATGGTGGGTTTACCCCCCACGGAGATAAAGAGTTAAGGCATGTTCACTTGCCTTGCTCTCGAAGAGAACAATAACAATACTCATCAATCTGGAATATACGAAAGTTGGGAAATTTGCAACTGAAGGTGGCCAAGGTTGTCTGGTGCCAGGAGTAAATTTAGTGAGAAAATGGCCGCCAAAGTCTGGTGACTTCTAAAGCTGTAGTGTCTTTGGAAACTACAAGTTACATTTGTGTGCTTCAGATCAACGTTCTCCAATAAAATCCACGCAAGAATGTCCTTAAAAATGGACGTAAAAACGTTGAGCCCAAAACAAAAATAATAAATCAATAAAAATTGCGCAATGCGCTGAACTATGTTAATGTCTTCAATTTCCTCATCCCGACGAGCGCCTGATTCCACTATGATGCCTCACACACAATATGCAGAAGAGGTGATCAGAACGTGACTACGAAAATATGGCAAGATGGCAAGACAGGTCAAACTTTAAACAACGATATTTTATACAATCCAAATCAAACACATCCTTCATGAACCTAGAGAGCAATCACGCCTGTTTTGACATAATCAGTCGGGCGTGAATACATTGTGAGCGTTATCCGTCTGCTAGAACAGCATCATTCTCTCGACATTTTCCTGTCACTTCTAGATTTAAATCAAAGAGAGGAACATTGGCACGTTAAGGGACTGTCCCTGGAATGAGACAGCGAGACAGACCGGCGCATCAGAGGGATGTCTTTTTTTAGTTTTAGTAGAGGTTTTACGGTGCTCGCAACTGCTTAAGGTCATATGAGCGTCAGAAGATTAGAGGTGTTACAAGAGAGTAACAAACACAAAAAAGAAGAAGGGGAGATAAGGATGATAGATGTTTGATAGGAAAGAAGGAGCAAACCACACCAGAGCACCCGCCAACCACCCACAGAGGGATGTCAGAACGTAAGGACAGTAACTGGTATCCTGAAAACTCCTGCACTTTCCAATGGTAGTTTTAGTTCTAGTAAGGTTTTTACGGCGCTCGCAAATGCATAAGGTCATATTTCCAATGTTACAAGAAAGAAACTGAAACAAATGATGAAAAAGAAGGTACAAGAAGAAAAAGTTGCAGGCACGGCACAAACTTGGCATTCCTATAGATCTGAGACAGTTGTCACGAGAGACTGAGAATGTGTGTGTGTGTGTCTGAGTGTGTCTGAGCGAGTGTGTGTGTGTGTCTGAGTGTGTGTGTGTGTGTGTGTGTCTGAGTGTGTGTGTGTGTGTCTGAGTGTGTGTGTGTGTGTGTGTGTG